TGCAGAAATTCTGCCCATTTGTCTGGGTTGTCAAACATCCAGCGCATCATAGGCCCTCGGTAGTGCTTGCAATCTAGAATTTGAAGGATAGATTAGATTTAGATTGCTCGCATCTAAATAGAGAAGAATATTTTTGAGACCCTGGGAACTTCCCACCTTCAGCAGCGGCGGCAGCATCTCTTTCTTCCTTAGCTTTTTTTTCAGCTTCCTGAGCCGCAAGAATTTCTGGGTTAATGGGCACTGGGATCTCCGTCTCATTGATTTGAAACCCTGTTTCTCTTGATACTTCTCGCTTTCTTCTGCGCTTACTTCCTCCAATATCTAGGAAGGCAAATCTTGTAATAACCCAGAAAAACGAGTCAAGTCGGAACTCACTAAACATTGAGAATAAATCAAATTCATAAACATCATGTGAAAAATCATCTGGCACTAAGGTGATATTGTTCTTATCGGCATAATCACGGAAATTCCCAAGCATTGGACAGACGTCATAGTAATTTGGCGACATTTTAGGACACTCTGGGTCTAATGGGTTCATGCATGGTCTATCCAGATATCCATGGCCAACACCAGCCTATAATCATACGCGTCTAACAAGCTATTGATTTACGTTCAACGCAGTGTCTTGGTGGGATACAAACTTATGGAAAAAACACATCTGTAGGATGCACTCACCCTCTCAAAGAAGGTATGGTGAGAACCCAGATTAAACATTCGATGAATTTCATTAATGACGTCCATCGGGTCAAAATCTGTCCACTGTATATACTTTCTATTGGGAATCGACTTCAACCAAGCCAATAATGATAGATCTCTAGATTGCGTAAATTTGACATATGTTTGAATCGCAGTCAAATCATAGATAAGCTTCAAACAAGTTTACAAACTTAATGAACTTACTTTGTCTCAATGGGTGGATGAGGCCCAAGGGCTTTGGCACCTTCCCAAAAGCAGTCAATTGGTGTAATCCAAATGCATGGAACAATTCTTTCGATTACATCAGCCATTTCTGCTGCAATACCATCCAGTTCCGGGGGAGCCGGCTTAAAGCAGATGTCTGACAGGGACCAACTTCTAAAAACATCTCTTTCATACAAGTTCCCAACAATTTCGTGGATAGGAGAAAGAATAAAAACCAAGCACAGTTTGCCTCTGTAATCCCATGATCCCCTAATTATCTGTATGCGCAGATAGTTTAGATGTCATGGATAAGTGTCATCGAACTGTCACCACACAGTCGACAAAAACACTCACTATGTAAACTTCCCAGTTGACGCTAGCGATTCGCTCAGCTGATTCATCTCCGATAAGCGGGATCTTCACCACAAGAATGAATGTTTGCAATAATTTTTGAATGAATTAGCCCTTTGAACTTGCTGTTCGAATATATAAGTAAGGAATACATAATGAAAAAGTCCATTCTCAGAAAAAAAGTAGTCGACAAACTACATAGGATCAATAGATATATACTCATAAATACTCTAAATATCCACCAGAAAAGAAATACTTGCGGCTAAATGATCTCTCATAAACATATATAAATCAAACACTGAATTTAAACATAAACTGCGGAAAGATTTTTCCGTTTCTAGAAAAAAACTTGTACTAAACATTATCGCAGTATTGCAGAAGAGCATTGTCATAAGAGGATCACTGCGT